AAGAATTTGTAGCCTGTAGAGTGATTTGATAGGGTTTGTATTAATTATTTATGTGGTGATTTACTGTAAAAAAATTCGGGTACTATACTTACAGATTAACATGATAACATACCTAGTGAAGAAAATTTTAAATCTGAAAGAATTTGCACCATTAGTAGGTGATTTAGATAAGGTATGTATTTTTATATTGGATTTGTTAACTTAATGTAAAAATTTTGATACTTTTATTGCAGACTTTTGGGATAACATGCCTAGCAAAGAAAAATTCTGAATGGAGGTAGCGGTTTGATAGTGTGGTGATTTACTATAAAATTTTGATACCGTAAATACAGACATTTTTGGTGACATATCTAATAAAAAAAATTCTAATCTGGGAAGAATTGTAGCCACTACACTATTAAGTTATTTATTAATTTTATATTGGGTTTATTATAATTTGTATGGTGATTTACTATAAAAATTCTGATATAGTGCTGGCAGATTAACATGATAAGAAAATTTTGAACTGGGAAGACTTTATAGCTACTAGTAGGTAGATATGTTGGTTTTGTATTGGATTTATTGCGATTTGTGTGGTGACTTGCTGTAAAAATTTGGATACTGTAATTGCAGGCTATTGAGATGACGTACATAGCAAAGAAATTTTCTGAACCTTAAAAGTTAGTAATGGTTTGACATTGTGGTGATTACTGTAAAAAATTTCTAATATTGTATTTGCAGAATAATTTATAGCTGCTAGTAAGTGGTTGATATAGATATATGTTAATTTTGTATTGGGTTTAGCGTGGTTTGTGTGATTATTTACTATAAAATAAAGAAGGGTTATTTACTAAATCTAGGAAATTTCACGATCCAGCAGTCAAAATTTGATAGATCTTATACCATTTGACACATCTTATCGAGATGAATCTAATGATATAAAATTTATTAAATATTACTAGATCGTAAGATATCTTCGATCTTTTCATCTGACTATTAGACATTAAAACTGATTAGGTCTATTCCCCAAATATACTGTATTAGAACTCTAATTAACTCAGGCAATACCTTTTAAATATTGGGTACAATCAAAATTAATTTCTTGAATAATGTGGGCTGCCGTCAATATCAGGCAGATTGACATTTTAAAAAAAATCTATACTTCAACTTTCACAGCTCATATCTCAATGAATTTGGAAGCTAGCTTGATGATTTGATATTCAAAAGAAAGAGTAAGTTCTAAGCTTTTTTGAATATTTAATCATCAAAATTCATCGACATATGAGCTGTGAAAGTTGAGGTATAGATTTTTTTTAAAATGTCGATCTTCCTGACTTCTATTGACGGCAGCCCATGTGATTATTTTCGATTAGTTTTAATAAAGTGTAGGGTTTTGAGAGCTTTTCTTTAATTAGTAGGCTTTGAAAAATCACAAAAATAAAAAGCACTTTAACGCATATAAAAATTAAGTTAATCACCAAATTTGGGCATCAATTAGATTTATACTACTGTATTCTTATAGCAATTACAATCTTTAATTCATTTAATCATAAGCTCACGATTACAAAACAAAAGTATCTATAAACAAAAAAAAAATTAATTTTTCGTACCAAAATTACGAATATTAAACATGGTATTTAAAATACCAAAAGTTATGTAATTAAGTTCTTCATTGTTTAACTCAGAAGAATCCACTACTTCGTCATTAATCGCGTAATTGATCACCCTTGTAAAATATAATAAATTCAAAGCCAATATAGATCTTGTCCAATAATAATCATTACCAGAAAACAAAGATAAATTAAACATCTGAATTATCGGAGTCCAAATAAATGTTATTGTAATACCAACAATTCTCATTACCTTCTCCATTCTAAATAAAATTTCCGCATTCAAATGGATACAACAAATACAACAAATACAACAAATCCTTTCCACCAAACTATTTACTCTAGTAAAAAAACTAATATAAATAATAATTGCAACCAAACATATAACACCAGTTACAGCGTGTAAATAAACAAAAATGTTCAAATAAACACCTGTAAAAACACTTTTAGAATAAAATATAAAACTAACATCTGATAAAACATGACAAAATTCGATCGATAATGGAATAATATATATTTTTAATCCATAGCCTCTTAAATTATTTAATTTAACAAAGTAATTTAACATCATTAAAACAAAAACCAGAATGGATACCATTCCTAAGAAAATTGAAATCCAAAGAGGTATCGGAAATTTATCCTTGTTCTTATAAAATACCACCGAAGGCAAAACAAAAAGGGATAACAAAAAAATAAAGTCGTCAAGAACATGCTTTCTCTTAATTTTGCGTATTATATTTTCATCTTTCGTTTCAAGATCCGAAGAACCCTCTTCTGCTTTTGTTTCGGAATCCGAATAACCTGCCTCCGCTTTTGTTTTGGAATCTGAAGAATTTGCCTCTTTCAATTTCCGAATTCCAATCACATCTTTATCAAACATATAAACTATCAAAGTAGGAACAAGCGTAGAAATTACCGAATCAAAAACATCTTGAGTAGAATCGTATCCCTCTTCAGCAAAAACCATTCCAATAAAATAAATAAAAATTATGCATGTGATATTTTTCAAATGAATCATCTTTTTAAAAAGCAAAATTAAAATATTTACATTATGCATAAATATTTAAAAATAATCTCATAAATAAATCATCGGTAAAACTGATAAAACTAAACATAACAATAAACATAATTACAATACCTTTTTTGCATTCATATTTCGTAGTATCTACAAAACTAAAAAGAGCTCACTTTGCAAAAAAATTAAAGACCACAAATTACACTTTATAAGAACAAAATATAAACATTGAAATCAAATATTTCTTAACTTTATTAACATAATCGACTTTAATGTACTACTAATTATGCAGGCTTTGTGCTGCAAAAAGGGGTAAATCAACAAAACTAAAGATCTTCGAAAAATCGATTTTTATGTTATAAATTTTATAATAAATCATAAGAAAATACAAACTTTAAAGAGATATACTACGAAATTTTATTAACATAACTGCTTTTGGTTTTAAGTGAAAAATGATTCTATTCTTAGATTAAATTAATTTGTGCAAAAAAAACTAGTTTTATAATTTTGTTGATTTACCCCCTTTTTGCAGTACAAAGTATCTATAGAGGTTGTGGTTTTTAAATTACTGCTTAGCGTAATATTGTATAATGTATAATCATGTTACACTTAAAATTATTAATTTTACTGTTGGAATTTTGCCTCCATAAGGTGTTTCTAGATTTTTTTGCATCGTATATAATCAATAAAAAAAAAAGTAAAAGCTTTTATCGGTCAAACAATAGTTATACTTAAGTAGCTGCGTAACACAGTTGCACAAAACCAGGAACGAGAGTCATATGCTGTATAAGATTTAAAGAGCAAGCTTGAAACTGTATAGTATCAGATAGCACAATGTTATAACTTGTTATATATTAAATTTGATAATTAAAAATTTACTAACATATAGAACTTTCAGTTTTTGTTTGGCATCACTTTAATATAAAATAGTCTCGTGGTAATATAATAGAAAAAACTGCATGTTATTAGTAAAAATCTTATACTTTTATTTATTAACTCATAAACATTCTAATAATTGTGCATTTAAAGAATATCTTTTTGGTTCATCAAACAATCAATGATCACTGATTTCGACAGATAAATAAAATGTTTATGACTTCAAGCTAAATTATTCATAGAATGCTAGGGCATGCATCGAATATAAAAATACATTACATATATGCATATTGCAAAAACATTACATTAACTTTTTATTTAGAATAATTTTTATTAAAAGGAGAGAAAACATTGATAGATGAACTTTGCAGAAACACTACGTCGAATGAATACATTTTGTAGAAACGTTATAAGGCTAGAACACTTTGCAAGAATATCATTTTTATTATAATAAAAATCTTGGATTTGAAAACAAATACGTTATCTATTTCAATCAAAAAATTAGATTTCCGCATTTTAAGTAAATTTGTTCAATTTTATATGTATGAACAATGATATTGTGAAATTAGATAACATTTAATTAAAAAAGCTTAAAGTTGGTGTAACTTCAATTAGAGTTTAATTTCTTTATTAGCGTTTAAGTGTTAACCTAATTAATAGATGTTACCATTATTACATAAATGCAGAGTTCTATATAAGCATATGCAAAATAAAACATCAAAGTTTACAAATGTTTCACATATGCATTTTAGTGCCCGAATTATACTTTGTTTGTAAGACCGAGTTAATTAAATAGTTACAAAAATAATTAAAGAATTATTTTTCTGAATTCCTCGTTTCAACTGCCACGTTACGATTACTTTAACTAACATTATGGAAAACGATTCTAATAAACCCTCAGAAGAAGATCAATATCTTGAAAATATTAAGAACATCTCTTCTTATATAACTTCTCAAGCTTTCAGCGCAAAATTCTCTGCCCAAAATGCCAAAACATATAAAAGTGAAAGTGTATCTTTTGCGGGGCGATTACAAACTATTGGTGATAAAGTTAAAGAATTTATAGATGTAATAGAAAAAGAGGATCGTGAGATTGTCGGATTGAAGTGGGATTTAAAACGAATTATTAATGGATTAGAAAGCGTTAAAGGTAATTTTAATGTTTATGAATTAATTAGTCAATACTCTTGCCAATATTTTTATTAATATATATATTTTATAAATTAGCTATTTTAATGGATGTTCGTATGTTTTTACAACAACGACAACTTCCCGTATTTCCCAATGCTAAGCCTAATGCTGCTGAAGATTTTCGGTTACAACGTCTAATTACGGATCTTAATCGACGTCTTGATAATTCTATTGGTTCTATATCCGTTGCTTTTTCACCCATGAAAATACAAAAAGAATTATCTATTGAGGAACAAGAAGAGTTTTTGAAAAAATTAAAAGATGATGTCGAAAAAGAGTTGAAAGTATTAGAAGAAAAGCGAAAGGAAGATGGAAACAAAGACCAGGCCACTCGTTGGTTAGAAATTGCGATTGAACAACAACATTTAAGATTTATTGATTATAGACAGATTGTTATTGACAAGTTTTTGATGAAGGGAGGGTGAGTTACTTTAGCTAATTTTGAGAAATTATTTTGATTTATGATAATAATTAAACAATGAATTCTCATTTTTTTTTTAGATTTGGTATTGTACATCTTGCATATTGGGATGATACCCCTATTGTATTAAAGCAATTATTTGATCAAAAAGATTTCATCGATGAAATAAGGCTACACAAGCGTGTTCATGATGGTGATTATATAGTAAAATTTCATGGTATCACTAAGGATAATGATGGAAATTTGGGAATGATTATGAAATATGCGGCGAATGGCAACCTTCGAGATTATATAAAAGTTCATGGCATGTCATTATCATGGTATCAACGAGTTCTATTGGCTAAGCAAATTTCGATTGGATTATCGTTTATTCATCGTGAAAAAATATATCATAGGGTAAGCTATGACTATTTTATATAATTTTTATATAATTAAGAATGATTGTCAATAATTAAATAAAATATAACCATTTCCAATCTATTTAATCAAATTTATAGGATTTTCATAGTGTAAGTTAAACAACTATATAGTCTTTTTTTTTTATATATGAATTATATGAATTTAATAGAACGCAACTTAAAATAATTTTTAAATAGGGAAATATTCTTGTTGATGAAAATGGTGGTCCCATGATCACAGATTTTGGCTTATCACGTGTGTCGGATCGGGATAAGCGTGCATCTATGAATGAAAAAACTTTTGGATTAGTAGCATATACAGCTCCAGAACGACTTAAAAATTCACAATATCCATTTGATGAAAGGTGTGATATATACTCATTAGGAGTAATATTTTGGGAAATTTCTGCATGTCGTAAACCATTTAATGGTCAAAATGACTCAAATTTGGCGGTTAAAATTATGCTTAATGAACGAGAAACATTCTCTCCCGATACACCAGGAAAGTTTATTGACTTGGTTAACAGTTGTTGGGATGATGATCCTTCCAAAAGACCAACTATGGCAATGATAAAACAAACTCTTAATGAGATTTTAATGAGCTTGCCTAAAGAAAATACTAAGAATGTTACACAGCACGTAATAAATAAAATTGAGAGAGAGTTAACGTTATCAAGCACTTCAAATTCGAGTAATTCTAATTATCAAACAGCCGCTACTAATGATAGTCAATTAGAGAGTAAGCAAGAAACAGAAGAAATTGATGTTTCATTATATTTGAGTGCTTTAGAAGATGTTGATTTATAATCAATATAATATAATAATTTTGTTTTTACACGTATTGTCATTACTGTTCCAATTTTTTTTACCAGATGTAAATTTTTTTTAGGATAATTTTATTTATATATTATTAATAACATTGTTAGCCTATATTCTTTAATGCATATTATTATAATTATTTATTTACAATAATTCAAAAATAATATTTTATTTACTTTATATTGTAAATACTGTATAACTTTTACGAAAGTACCTATTAAATAACATAAAAAACATTTATGTTATTTATGAATTTACAAAAATGCAAAAAAATTTATAATGGAATATTAGATGCTAAGAATAATTAAACTGAATAATAAAATAATTTATGCTATTACTAGATGCTGGACCCGTTGTTAAACGACGGATTTTTGGCATTATTACGTATAATAGCAAATACCAAATATGTAAGTGTATAATTATAACTCAAAATACATACTCCAATGTTTTTGTTTAATTTTTGCTCTTATTTTTTATTTTTTTGATATTTATTACAAATTTTTATTTTTTAATTTTTATTATTTTTTTATTTTTTAAAATTTTTTTAAAATTTTTTTTTTTTTTTTAATTCTTTGACAGTCTTGCCAGTGCTCAATTTATTTAAGACTATATTTAGGTGAGAGTTGA